CTAAAGCTTCCACATCCTTCCTATAATGAGGTGACCAGAACTGAACACAGTTTTGTATCCAGACAGCCAAATTTCCCTGAATCCCATGCCTCCTTACTTTCTGAATGAGCCTACCATGTGGAACCTTATCGAATGTTCTGTTCTATGTTCTATGTTCAAACCCCATACAGGTCGAAACCGGAAATGACACTACTCACCATAACGGACCAGACAGTATAAATTCCAAGCAGAGTAGAACAACATCGCTTCATCGGAGGCCTCACTGATGATGTCACCTAGCATGGTGACGAAACGTCTAAACAAAAACAAGCCAGCTCGGCAAGCAAGTCAATAAAGTCAATAATTTGATGTGTTTTACTTTCTGTCCCTCACTTATACTACATTATTCTGAGGACAAATATTCGCTTGGAGTTTTGTTTTTATGATAACAGGGTAGCCATGAAATTGCTCAAAGGAAGTCCACACCAAAAATCAAGTTATAAAATGCATTGGAAGTTGCAGTAAAGCTTTAAAAATCCGATCCACAATTTTTTTTGGATGATATTTTGATTATGGATTGGAATAAATTATTGTATTAATTGTATGGCTCTGGAATTATAAACTCTGTCTTGTGAATATTGTTAATCAACCTATCCAAATGGATTGGGACACACCTCTGGAGCAGGTGGAACTTGGACCCAGGACTTCTGGCTCAGACTTAAGACACTACCGCTGCACCACAAGAGCTCTATAACCTCTTCCTTGTATTTTCACTCAAGTTTCTGATCTTATTAATATGAAAATCAAAATCAAATCTGGAAACGACTAGTATCTGAAGTAATAAATATTCTTAGGATTGGTAACAATGGACTTCTGATGGATCAGGATATTAAAGGGCACACAGTAAAAATGTTTAAATGGAGTTATGGTGCTGTATCAGACATAATCTGATTGAATGGCTGTGTGAGATGCTGAAGAGGGTGATTGATGTACTCTTGTTCAGATGGCACAGATGGAGGCACCTTGTCATCTCATGCAAGAAGCTGTTGTTCAGTTGATTACTCTGCACACTTAATGCCCCCCAGTATTAATAAACTGTTGATAGCTTCAGTATCCACAGCTATGCTAGATTCTGACCTCAGAGCATGAACGTATTTAAGCACAGTTGGCCACGACTGAACAAGAATCAGCTGCACCGTTGATGCTTTTCCTCTTTACAGTTCTGGATGTTGTTACCTACTATTTATGTCGTTTACTTAAAGAAAGAAAAGTCATTTTTTGTGGATAACATCATTTATTTTTCCTTTCTTCCCTCCAGAGTAAAAGTACTCTGAATCCTGATGCCAAGGAGTTTGTTCCTGGAGTGAAGTACTGAAATTCTGAAAGTCTTGCAAGCTGCCCTCTGCTGGAGGAAGCAACAAAAAAAAAATACAATTTCTGAACACTGTGAAGCAAGTCACTTTTTAGGAGGGCCTATTTGTTATAGATGCTATTGGATTACCCACCTTCTTCCCCTTCTCAACCGAAGACCTGTTTTAGATTTACTGGGTTTATTTTGGCTTGTTTCAGCTTTGTTACAAAAACAGCTTGGCCCTTTCACACTTTCCTTTACGTGCAAGGCCAAGTTGGCATGCTGTTGTTGGTGTACGGTGTTCCATCTGCCACATATCATGTGGGTCTTTTACTTAAAATGACTGGTTTCATAGCTTAGTTGGTGGGGAAAGAGGTGAATTGAATGCAATGCCAGCTTAAAACTTGCTCAGTTTAGGGTACTCCGTATTTCCTGGGAGAAAAGTTTAAAGTGAGAGTATCCTTTTTAAAACAATGTCTAAAATTGGCTTAAGCGAAATATCAAAAGCACTTTGCCAAATGAAGCTGATTCTAAAAGAATTGAAAACTACCAACTGCTGGAACCACACAGGCACACGCACGGACACACACACAATCACAGCCTTTGGTTTTTTTACTGCCTGATTATTATCTCCCCTCTTTTCCCTGCTATGAGAGCCTTACAAAAGGGGGATGTAGAATAGCTATACAGAATACAGTATTACCACTGCCATTACATATCGTCAGTTTTATGGTCTAAACAAATTTCCTTCTAAAATAACATTGCATCTAGCAGTAAAAAGAAGCTAAATATGTTATAATGCACATTGTAAGATCCTATAAATACAGTATATGTCTCTTTTGGGGGTTTTTGAAGTGCAGCCCAAATGGGCTGAAGAAAGTACAAAAGGGATGCTGTTTGTCTAGTTTGTATGGGGAAATCCTCTCCTGACTGAAAATTGGGTTGCACTTTTCATGACAATGGGTGATGGTGGGCCATGACAGAAAATTGCCCAAGGTACAGAGTCTGCAAATGCTTGGCAGAGATTTTTATGTAGCAGATACCTTACATTAAGAGCCAGTTCTTGAGTTATCACTAAATCATCCATGCTTGCATCTGCCTCAACAACGAAAATGGCATCACTACTGCAGCCTTTCTTGCACTTTCTTTCTAGGAAGTTGATATTTCTTTCAAGGCTCAACTTTGCTTTTCTTTTCTCATCTCGGGGACAAACTAGTGCAAAAAAAAACTGGCATGTAGCTTTATATTTTAAGAAAACAATAAGATACTTGTCAACTCTTCTAAAGCTTTGGTCAGTGGAAAGTTTGCAAGTTCAATGTTTGAATGTGATTTTTAAAAAGATCATGCATAAATTCTTTGTGGGGTGGGGATGTACAGGTGCAGGACCTGATGGTATAAGAGTGGTCTGGCAAACTAAGACATAAGTAAAGTTAACAGTTTTTCATATAACGCAGCATTTCAGTGGGAGGAAATTGAATCGGGTCTTAAGTTCTGAAGCTCACTTTATTTATTAAGTTCGCTTGATGTTCTCTCAGTTGATCACAAAACACAAACAATACTTTGCAATTTGGGAAAAGAAACAAAGATCTGTTGCCTCATTTCCTTCTGAAAGTTATTAGTTAATCCAGTTCAGCATCTCCTGTGGGAATGGGTGGGGGGCAACCCTAGTCTTCAATGCGGTGCTTTGGTCATTGACTTATGAATTTTGCTGCTGGGAAAGTCCTTTCCAGTGGGTGTGATTAGGTACTGACATATTGCAATTTTCTATGAATTTGACAATTTTGAGCTTATCAAACTTTTACTTTTCCGAACCATCTTCACTTAAAACCATCCAGGTCTTTAACAGATGGAGTTTTCAGTCCATTAATACTTGTATGCTTTCAAATATTGAAGTAGCTGTACTCTTTTCTGAGCCTTGTATCAGCTCATAATAACAAAAATGTGTTTTATTGCTAATAATTTGTTTAGTTTACCCCGTACACAAAGCTTCAAAATATTGTTATTGCACCAATTTCCTGTTTCACATAACTAATCCTGCAAACTTTGTTGATTTAGCTTTTTTAGGTGTTATGTGGTGATGACAGCATCTCAAGAATCTAGAATGAAATTACTACTGAGACGCTTCAGCAATTTTCATAATAATTGATTGCATACTAATAGTTTCTTGTTTTCTCTTCACTTCTACCCACTGTTCTGGTTCTGAACACAGGTAGTACCTTTACTACCATTTCTGCTACAAAGGTAGTAGAAATTCGTTCATAAATGCAGAACTTTTTTTTTACATGCAGTGATGCAGTACCTCTGGTTGTGGCCTAAAGCATCTGTTTGCACCTTCCTCACTGCCCAAGTAAACAGTAGCACTTAAGACTGTTGCTAATAAATCTTAAGTATAATTTTTTGCATAACTTATCGTACCATGGAACTCTCGATTAGAAACTAACTCTCCTGTTAATTTTATGGACTGGATGGATGATATTTTATTCTGAGAGTTGGCTCTTGTCCCTTTAACTTGAAAAGTTTTTGAGATATTTCAATCTGTTTCAAGGTAACATGTTTTATCTTTTTCCCCTGGTGACCTATCACGTTTGCAGTGGTGGTTACTTTATTTTTAATGAAAGTATATTAATGTATGAAGAAAAAAAATATTCAATTTTCACCATATTGTCAGTATTAAGTGCTTCTAAGTCAGTTATAATGTGATCCACATGGCCGCCTCTACATTTCAGTTGCAGCATGTCTTCACTAGAACAGCACTCACACCTGCTTTGCTCCAGTCTGATGTTCCTTTTCTCCAAACATATATGATCTCTGAGCTGTGTGTCAGTTGCTCCTGAATTGAGGTCTCTTTTGTGTTACATAAGTGCCCACCAGAAGCATTATTTTTGTCCGGAGCAAGGTCGTTGATGCCATCAGTATGAAGGATTGGAAGCTCGACTCTGGGGTTAATGAACAAGTTTGGTGTCCTGGTAGCCGAGTGACTAAAGGCACTGTCCCTTGTGTGACGTGATATGGATCAGGTGGCCCTAGATGCAACTTTTGGTGTGTACCAAGAAAGTTGATCAAAGCAGACAGTAGCAATGAATAGTTTTCTATTAGCTCTGCACTCCTGGACTAACAGAAAGATCTAGCTCCTTATTGGAACATGATTGAAAAATGCATGTAAGTGAATGTTTCACTGAAACCAGATTCAGTTCAAAACACTGACCTTCAGAGTTGAACTGTCTGCTTCTGAACAATGCTTTTGAGGAATAGTCACTTTCAGGGTATTTTAGGGCTGCCAGTACTGACTGACTGACTGTTTTTCAGCATTAGTCAGTGTCTTCGAGATGATTAAAATTTGAATAGAATTGTCGGTGGTGTTTAGGAGGACGAAGTTCTGATGTGACAACTTATCTCTTCATTGGAAAATTCCCTAATGTTTTCTAAAACTGATCTCAGATTGACAGTTTTATTTTTCTGAAGCTGTTACTTTCTTCATTTTCACTTATTTCATTCTGCCTGCCTATCCAAATGGAGTAAAATGCTGATATCATGAACTTTCAGGGAAAATATTTCATCACAATGCAATTTTAGTATTCAAGAAAATAAGTGTCTTTCTTTTGCTTTGATTACTCTGAGGAAACCGGGTGCTGCATTCTAGGTAGGTGTATTTTGCATTTAAAATTAATGTGTAGCAACTGTTCTGTCTCACTCCACCCAGCTGTCCCAACTTGAATCATTAAGAAGAGAATATAAATTATGGCCAGTTGAGAATGATTCCAAGCTTGGATTTCTTCAGTGCAGTAATAACAGGAATTTAAAGCAATGAGATGAATGAAGCAAAATTGCAGAGGAGCATGAATAACTTTTCTAAATAGCAGAAAGTTTAATTTGGCCATATGTGAAATCTAAGGGAGTTTTTTGGCAATTAAAGATATACAAAATTCCCAGAGCCATTCAAAGCATCATGAATGTGACCAGAGAATTTAAATTGTGGCAGGTTTACTTCTAGATATTTGTTTGCTGTTGGGAAGAAACACTTGCTAGTTTTTCCTTTCTTACCCGTTCACTCGCCCTGTCGTTTCACCTCGCAATAGCTGCCAGCATAACATTTGTGCAGTAATGAGGATCTGCCTCAGAAGATCTAGTTTGTACATCTCAAGTAATACTTTGCCTCACCATTTGGTTTCACATCTCAATTGTTTCAAAATGTAACCAGATTCTTCTTTTAGGATTGTGGAGATTGTGTGTGCACTTGAATTCATTAGCTTTTGTTCACTTCCTATTTGTGCCCACATTATGAAACCAAAAACAAATGAACAATCAGGGGATGCTGTGTCCCATCATGCACTTAGCCTTTAACCTTCTCTCGCATTTCAAGGGAAAGGGTGGGTTTGGGAGGTGCTTTCATTTTTGATCCACACAATTAAAAATATTGTTTTCAAATTGCAAATAGGATGCAAATAAATCTCTCAGCTGTAATCAGTCTTGTTTCAGTTTAATGATAAACTACATTATGTTAATTTTTAAAAGATTCCTGTTTAGTATAATGCTGACTATTTTACTGCTTGCGTGTACAAGTAGAAGCTGGTGCTTTACAATAGGTGTATGCGTGAGGGATGTTTACTGGTGTAAGGATCTGTATTCTCACTTTGTTATAAGAATCTAGAACTATTTGTTCTATGTTGCTGTTATCCTGGCTACACCATGCACTCAAGATACATTTTCTGAGTTAATTCAGCATTTTCCATCAAGCTTGGTCTGCATATGGGACAAGGAGTAAGCTGAAATATGAGATTGCTGGACATGTTGGGACAGTGTTGAAGTTCTGAGATCTTGAAGACCCAGCTGCTTATTTCCATACTTGCCATGTAAATGGAGTAGTTGGCACTAGTGTTATAATCCTGGTCCCGTTCCCATTTATGTTTGCTTCCTACCTATACTTAAATTTAAATTTGCATTTCACTTGGTACAATATGCACTTGAGACATTTTAAGGGAGATTAGGGAATGTGGGGAGTAGTTTCTTGTTTTGTTAATAGGTGGAGGACCACCTTTGGAAAAGCTCCATCTTGACATCTGGAAAATAATTAGTGTTTTCGACATAGCAGTGATATTTTTAACAACTGTTTTGATGCTTTAGAATAACTCGAGGCCATGTAAAGCGCTACAAAACTACATTAATTCTTCCTGTTGTGTCATTTTCTTCTTTTAATCGATTTTTTTCCTTTTTATCTCTTTCTGAAAATCAATCATGACCAAATTCAGGGAAATTGAAAAAATCATCCTGTTAAACAGTATATAAATCTATAAAACCAGGATATTTATGTTTTAAAATGGAAAAGCTCATTGACCATAGAAATATATTGAGAGTTATTTTAGTAATTCTTTTGGAAAGGTGTTAAGTTTATCCATTTGGGGCAGGGTAATGTAACATTATTTAATTGATTTTTCTTTCCCATCAAACTTGATTTTGCTTGCCCTGAGGTTCTTGATCTTCAAAAGAGCGTTTGGCTCCTAAGCATTTCACCATGATGGCATTTTGTAGACACAAGGACAAAAAAGTGCAAGCCTAATTCTTCAGTCCATTCTAGACACCTATTGATACCACTCTGAAACTAATATCAACTGGGGGAACCTTGTATCTTAGTTCCTTTCCCTTTTCTAGAAATTATCCAGCGTCTTTTCTGGCAAGAATTTCATTTTTTGCCTGCCCTCATTCTCTAAATAGTTCCATTTGGGGTCTTAAATTGTTGTGTTTTCTTGGCAGTGTGTCTTTGTCCCATTAAAATCACTTGCACAGTATCTTTGTCAATTTGCTACCTGGTAGTTAATGGGCTGGTTCACTCCCAGGGTAAAATGTTTTTAAACCACAGTTGCCAGCATACTTCTGTATTAATACCATCTCTGTATTAAAAGTTGAATTCTCAGCATTTTGTCAAGACGGGGGCATTATCTGATTGTGTTTGCAGATGTCTCACCTTGGTTTATTGTTAATTATCTGATACAAGTGTGAAATAAACTTTGTAATTTACATTTGTTTAGTTTTTTTCTTCAACAGGGCAGAATTTTGCAGATTTTGAGAAGTTCTTGTTAGAATTTACAGCACAGAAAAGGACATGTCTGTTTAAATTGTCCATGTTGTTTTGATCAATCCCACAAGTTGAAACCTCTCAATTTATTTATTATCAGATCCTTTACTGAACTTAACTGTCATCAAACAAAATCATTACAGATCCAAGAAACCAAACAGTAGTATTTTATAGTCTGCAATGGTTTAAATCTTATTTATTTTAACCAATTTTTTTCTCCACAGATGTTGCCTGATTAGTTGACTATTTCCAAAACTTTTGTTTCTCAGATTTCTGTGGCATCCAAAATATTTTGTTTTTGTAAACCTGTTGTCCTGTCTCTCACGTTGAAGTGCTGCAATTCCGTATTGTTTAATTTATCGAAAGGGATGGGGATGAAGTTTAAGATTTACATTAGAGAACACAATGCGAAGTGCCCAGGATTAGCAGAGTGCAGTACAAGGTCAAACAGCAGAAGACCTAAGAGGAAAAGTAAAGCTGCAAGTATTCTGCAAGAGCAGAGCCTGAAACTTAGATCACTTAAATAAAATTGAGGTTTTTTTTTCATTTTCAATACTAGGATTATAGAAAATAGGAATAGGAGTAAGGCGGCACGGTGGCTCAGTGGTTAGCACTGCTGCCTCACAGCGCCAGGGTCCTGGGTTCAATTCCGCCCTCGGGCAACTATCTGTGTGGAGTTTGCACATTCTCCCTCTGTCTGCGTGGGTTTCCTCCGGGTGCTCCGGTTTTGTCCTATAGTCCAAAGATGTGCAGGCTAGGTGGATTGGCCATGCTAAATTGGCTGTAGTGTTCAGGGATGAGTAGATTAGGTGGGTTATAGGGGGATGGGTCTAGGTGGGATGCTCTGAGGATCGGTGTGGACTTGTTGGGCTGAAGGGTCTGTTTCCACATTATAGGGATTCTATGATTTATTCGGCCTTTGTGCCTGCTCCGCCATTCACTGTGATCATGTCTGATCATCCAACCCTGTTCCTACTTTTCCCCATAGCCCCTTTGACCTCTTTAACCGTAAGAAGATCTTGTGGCCATTTTGAATAGTGATGGTGTTGAGTCTAAGGAGCTGGATTCTCATTTACAGAATGCAGATACTGGCTGCATTTCATTTGGGCCTTTGCCACCAGCAGTAGGCGTCTAATTTTTTGGCTGATTCAAACCGAGGTCCTAATTTGACAGGGCAATGTTCAAGCCATGCTGCTGCATTGGAGTCTCCAGAATGGCCATCCTGGGGGAAAATCTGCTTATTGAGGAGTGTATGTTGCCACTTTTGGGGAAAATATTGTTTTGGACCCAGTTTAATAAGAATTGAATTCACTCTCTGCACCATTACCGACACACATGCAACACTTTTTGCAGAAGGACCAGAAAGGATTAGACAGGCCAGAATTTTTAAACTGTGTCCGGGAGAGCTTGCTTTTTTTGTACCAGTATATAGATAGTCCTCTTGGAGATTGGGCAGTGCGCGACCTAATCCGAGGGAATTAAGTCTGTCAAGTAGTTGAAGTGTCAGTGGGTGAGTATTTTGGGGATAGTGAACATAACTTAAGTTTCAAAGTCATTTTGGAGAGGCATAAGGATGATGCAGAAGTTAACTGTCTAAATTGGGGGAAGGCCAACTTCAATATCATTAGTCAGAATCTGGCAAACACAGACTAGGAGCAGCTATTTCCAAGTAAGTATATTTGGAAAGTGAGAGACTTATAAAATCAGTGAGAGTTCAGGGCCAGCATGTTCCTCTAAGAGTGAAGGAGATGTCCAGGGAACTCTAGATGTCAGGGGATATTGAGAGTTTAATAAAGAAAAAGTAGGAAGCATTTGTTAGATATGGGTCATTAAAAGCAGGAGGCCCTTTAGAAGTGTAGTGTTTAGTGGTGTGGTTTGGGGAAGAAAAAAGAAATTTGGATGGCAAAGAGGGGCCCTAAAATACCTTTTCCAGATAGGGATTAAGGAAAACTGGAAGGTATTTCATAAGTATATTAAGAGCAAGATTACCAGGGAAAGAGTGGGACCTATTAGAGACTGTTGGGACAATCTGTGCATGACAGCAGAGGATGTGGGTGAGATCTTAAGGATGTACAGTTGCGTAAATCATCAGAGCCTGATGAGATTTATCTCAGGCTGCTATGGAAGGCAACGGAGGCGATTGCCTGTGGCTGGCAAAGTATCAAATATCTCTGCCAGGACTCTAGCAAAGTGCCAGATGACTGGAGGATAGCTGATGTGGTTCCTTTGTTCAAGAAGAGCAGCAGAGATAGGCCAGGTAATTACAGACCAGTTAGTCTGACATCAGTGGTAGGGTAACTATTGGGAAAAGGTAACTAAATATATTAATGAGGCTAGTGCAGTTTATGTGATTTACATGGACTTCAGTAAGATCTTTAACATGGTCCCACATGGAAGGCTGTTCAAAAGAGGAGCGCGCATGGGATCCAAGGCAAATTGGCAAACTGCCTTCTCATTGCAAGCAAACTTTGAATCTAAAGGGTGGAGGGTCGTTCTTGTGATTGGAAGCCTGTGACCAACAGTGTACTGCAGGGATTCGTGCTGGAGCCCTTGCTGTTATGTATAGAAGATCATAGAATCCCTACAGTGTGGAAACAGGCCATTCGGCCCAACAAGCTTATATTTAATGTGAATGACCAAGGGATGACACAAAAATTGGTGTTGATAGTGAGGAGGATGCTCTCAAACTACAGTCTGATATCGATTGGCAAGTAAACTGAGCAGATGGAATTTAATCATTTTACATTTTGGAAGATCTAATTGCAGAACAAAAAACAATAGCACAAGATAAAGTCCTTTGGCCCATCAAGCCTGCACCGATTCCTAGTCCTTTAGACCTGCTAATTATTGCCCATACATTGTTTCTATATCTTTGTTGGCCTCCCGTTCATGTGTCTATCAAAATAAGACTTTAGCAATGTTTGTGTGCTTGTTTCCATCACCTCCACTGGCAGTACATTCCAGGCATCTACCACACTCTGTGTGAGAAATTTTACCTGCACTTCTCCCCTAAACATCCCCTTCTCACCTTGAACCTGTGCCCTCTTGCAGTTGACCTTTCCACCCTGGGAAAAAGCCTCTGATGAGCCATCCTATCTATGCCTTTCATAATTTTGTGCCCCTCTATCAGGCCCCTCAGCCTCCGTCTTTCCAGTGAAAGCCGTCTTTCCAGTGAAAGCAATCAGAGTTTATCCAACCTCTCCTTGTAACTAAAACCCTCCAGACCAGGTCACATTCTGGTAAACCTTCTCTGCACCCTTTCCAAAGCATACGCATCCTAGTAGTGTGGCAATCAGAACTGCATGCAATATTCCAAATGTGGCCGAACTAAAGTTTTGTACAGCTGTAAACATAACATGCTAACTTTTATATTTGATGCCTTACCAATGAAGGCAAGCGTGCTGTGTGTCGTCTTGACCACCTTATCCACCTGTATTGCCACTTTCAGGGATTTGTGGACTTGTATGCCCAGAGCCCTCTGTCAATGCTCCTAAGGGTTCTGCCATTCATTCTATAACTCGCACCTGAATTTGATCTTCCAAAGTGCATCATCTGCATTTGTCCATAAGGGCATACACATCAATGGTAGATCCCTAGGGAGTACTGAGAAGCAAAGGGACTTTGGTGTACATGTCCATTGATCCCTGAAGGTGTCAGCACAGGGAGATAGGGCGATGATGAAGGCACATGGGATACTTCCCTTTATTAGCAGGGGCATAGAATGTAGAAAGTGTGAAGCCTTGTTGCAACCTTTACAGTACATTGTGAGGCCACAGATGGAATACTGGTTAAGTTCTGGTTTCCACACTATCACACTGGAGAGGGCGCAGAGGAGATTCACCAGCATGTTGCCTGGGCTGGAAGGTCTTAGTTATGAGGGCAGACTGCATATGCAGGGTATATTTTCCCTGGAGCAGAGGAGACTGAGCTGGGTGATCTGATTGAGGAAGACAAAATTCTAAGAGGCATGGATGGGATCAAGCAGGAGAATCTTTTCCCTACAACAGACATGTCTAAGACCAGAGGGTGTAAATTTAAGGTTGGGAGTAAGTGGTTTGGAGAAGATCTAAGGGATTATTTTTTTCATCCAGAGGGTGGTAAAAATATGGAACACTGCCTGAGAAGGTACTGCTGTCACAACATTTAAGAAGTATCTGGATGAGTCCTTAAAATGCTAGGACATAATAGACTATAGACCAAGTGCAGGTAAATGAGATTGGTCTAATTTGGTGTTTGTTGGTCGGAATAGCCATCATGGACGGAAGGGCCTGTTTTTATGCTGTATGACTGAGCAGTGCACTGAATCTATCTGAATGTTGTGCTGTCATGGACTGTTTTGTGATTGCAAGGAAGCAGACCTAGCTTTTTTATATATTCACTCATGGGATGTTGCCCTCCTTGGCTGCACCAACACTTATTGTCTATTTCTAGTTGCCATTGAGAAAGTGCCGGTGAGCTGCTGCCTCGAACCACCAAAGTCCAGGGTGAGCCATTATGCCCCTACGGAGGGAATGCCAGGATTTTGACCCAACAACATTGAAGGAACAATGATATATTTCCAAATCAGAATAGTGAGTAGCTTGGAGGGGAGTTTGCAGAGGTTAATGTTCCCATCCATTTGCTGCCATTGCCCTTCCAGGTGGAAGTAGTGGTAGGTTTTCAAGGTGCTGTCTAAGGTCTTTGCTGAATTTCTGTAGTCTATCTTGTAGAGAGTACGCACTGCTCTTGCTGAACCTTGGTGCAGCAAGTGGACTATTAAATGCATTGCACTTGAAATTACAAAGACACATGTTCCCCTCAAAAGTCAGTACTACAATCTAATTGAGCTGAGACAATGTTGAATGTTTTACTGTATCTAAGGTGCCATTATAAATTGAAAAATTGATTAGATGGAGTACCCTGAAATTTTGAGAGGTCAAATAATTGAAAATGGCTATTCTTA